AAAGCCTTCATTCATCCAAACATACGATTAGAGATCGTTCGTTTTGACACGTAATGCATTTTTGTTATTTTTTTTTCCTTCTCTTTTTTTTTTTATTTATTTCCGAGATTAAAAAAAAAAGGAAAGTAGATGCATGACAGGAAAGAAAAAAGAAGTCTAACATTGTTTTATTTAAAAGATAATAAGAGCAACAAATAATATGATCATGTGGGATGTCATCTAAAATTTTACTACCTCAATTAATGATTGTCGAAGAAAAAAAAAAATGATAAATGATCTGTTGAGAAAGGTGTTGTTTGACACATGTTAGAAACGAGAAATGTCGACATATAGAAAAATGCCAGAAAACAAAAAAATAGAATGATAGACAGTAGACAAATTTCATTTTGACAAGACTCATTAATTTACGTATTTTATTTTGATGTATAATTGATTGAAAATTCAAAATTGTCTTATCTTATATATGAATATAATAGAACTAAATTTGTATTAATATAAAGTTGATTACTAAGAAACAACTATATTGAACATGATAGGAATCAAATAATTTTTTTTTTTCGCTTTCTCTTCTATAGAAAATTTAGCAGGATTCATGTTTAGAGTGTGTCTGTTTTTCATTGTATATCGTGTTTTCCGGTTATGTCAGTAAGATAAAATGTAACATAGAAAAAGAAAAGCAAGTTTTTTTCTTTGTTTTTATTTTATAATAAAATGTCGTCGGTCGATTATATTTGACAATTTATTAATATGTGGAACGTGATTTTGAATAAAAATAAAATAAAATAGTCTTTTTTGCTAATATTGTCAGTGAAAGTTCATTTTGTTGATGGATAAATTAAAATGTCCTTCTTCTTATCTTAAAAAAAATATGAAAGTGCAAAGTTCTCAATATTTTTCTTAATCAATATGTTTTCAGTTAAAATTAAAAGAAGATTCACAAAAGAAAGAGAAGACAATATTTAAATTTACTGATTATATTGTCAAAGTTTATGGTGATGATGATTATATGTTAAAAAACAAAAATTTCAATATGAAAGTATTTTAATCATATGGAAAGGATGTTTATAGTATGTAGATCTTATCTGATGATTTAAGTATCTTCCTTTCTTTCCTCAAAAAAAGCAGTCAATTTTTGTCAAAAACATGAAAGTTGAGATAAATATATGGGAAGACACTCTAAGGTCCGATCTTTCATTAATGACATGATTTTGTATTTGGGACCTCGTTTTTTTCCAAAAATGTCCGTCATATTCTCCTTGAAAAATATGTTTTTTTTAGATATGGCAGAAAATCTTTTTTGCTTTTTTTCGGTTTATGTTTTTTTTGATCATGCATCCCAGAATTCTGGAAGAAGCTTCATTGTAGTCAACTGCATCCTGACCTACTCTTTCAAATGAAAAACAATTAAGTATATAGAATCAAGGTACACTGAGAACTTTGTTTTGCCAACTTAGCTATTATTGACTCTTGTTTATTGAATATCTTGCGAAAGCATCATGGTATAGGACGGAAAATTTTACTGTAGCCTCCTCACTAAAGCTCGAACATATACTGAAGAGTTCGTGCGATTCGAATGCATCTGATCCAAGATCGATTTTTGAGGATAGGAAGAGGCTTAATCGATTGCGTCCAGTGATGATGTTTCGAATAATCACAACGGAAAACTTTCACACTATTGATCAATTTGTATACAATAGATTTTTTATGGCTAATAGTAAAATTTCTTTCATCGGTTCTATGAAGCTTATTAAAAGTTCTTCAAACAAGTTGATGCATTAATAGAAGAGCATGAATTAAATTTCTCTGGAATATAAGTGATTGTTAAATACAAAGAATTTTCTATAGTTCTATTCTGTATTCTATTGCTAAATTAAAGTGAACTCTCAAAAGAAAGACGACTTCCAAAGACAAATAGTTAATAACCTGATAGCATTTCTGTAATCAATCGTGTACGCCTTCGGTCTCCATATTTTGCATGTGTTCTTTATGTTTTAGTGCTCTAGAGAACGACGAGTTGCTAGAAACTCCTTCGAACTTTGCCAGAAAGATCAATGTCTCGAGATGACACAAACGTTTTTTTGAATCTTCGATATGAGTTTCTGTTCATCTTCAGTAAGTGCCACAAAACAGTGATTTGGCTTCCATCTTTTACCCTAGATAATTAACAGTGATGTGCTAGTCTCCTGTCAAACAACTCGCCAGCTATAATGAGCAGCAGCAGTAATAATGAAAACACTCGACAGGACAAGATTGACTCTACGTGAAATCGTTTTATCGTTATTAGGTTAATTCAAAACTTATTACCGAAATTTGAGATGGCCTCGCACTGAATTTATGTAATTCTTTGAGATTTCTCTTTATTTCTTTACATACTAGACATACGCATCTCAAGTTATCATTTGTGCTCGTGATAATCTCGAAAATGAAGAGTCGGAAAATATTGGTTCAAATGTAAGGATGAAACTTCATGAACGACTCTATACTATTCGTTCTCCAATCTTTAACATGACGGTGCATTTTCTTCGTTACAGCCATCCTAAAAAACAAATTTTTGTAGACCTAGTTGTTTCTCTTTAAGGTTCGAGATAATTAAAACGATGACAAGGAGTTTTTATTTATCAAAGCTGTATTAACAGCTTATAATAGATATTGAATCATATAGATAATAATGACTACTATTATTTTGCTAAATAAAATAACTTTTATGCTAAGTTGACGTTTGCGTAGTAAAATTTGAATCTGCGAAGTAAATTAATTTAAATTTTCTTGATCATAAAAAAATTCAATGAGTAAAAATTATTATAAGCAGATAGTTTGTAATTAAGACAAACTGAAATTAGCAACGATTAAATGAAAACTTAGTAGATAGCAGCATGGCGGGTAGATTTTTTTTCTATCTCTTACTTTTCTTCTTCCAGTGGTGTTGGAAAAATACTCTAGAAATATATCATTCTTACTTTTTGAAGACATCAAGTAACAGAGAGAAATAACTTTCAGAATGTTCCGGACAAGACTAGTCAAATATTCATGATTCATGAGATCAAGAATACAATAACTTAATACTACGCACAAAAAAGTTACTATTAGTAACAAATAAAATCATCAAAGATAATCGTACATTTAAAGAATGACACACTCTATGAAGACTTTTCAAAATTGCAAATACAATTTTAAATAAATAATCGAAGTCTCGTAATCAGAATCAAACAAGGTAGACTTGCATTTTCAACAGAACTAACAATTACACTTACAAAAATCGACTGATCCATATCATTTTGCAGGATTCTCAATACAAGTGTTAAAAATATCACGTCAAACAAAGGATTTAACTGATTATTATCTAATAACTAATGAGATACAAAATATTACGAAAAACGCGGTAAAAAAATATAAAAAAGAAAAAATAGATGTCATCTTCGAATCAATTCAAAGATCTTCATTTTCGAATATGAAAAGCAAATTTGCCAGACAATCATCACAGTAGGAAAATGAAATTTACAATTGTCGAAGTTTTTCAAAGAATATATTTACAGACATATGATTGGTATGATGATAAGGTTGAAATTTTGCAAACCATCTCCAGCAGCAAAAGATTAACAAAATTTACATATTTACCAATCGATCTAGAATATTTTGCCGAGAAAATCAGAGTTTTTCTTGGTTTTCATATCTCAATCGATATAAGTAATTATGATATAAATTGACTTCTCTTTATGTTTTTCATGTGTTGATCAAGTAAAGTTTTTGGCCTTAATTTGAAATGTAGTATGATCTTTTGTTCTCACGATTATATATCAAAATTATCACCAGAATAAAACTTATATTGAAATATTGAGTGTTCCAAAAATTCCTTCTTAAAAGGTTTCTCGTTTCATTTCACTATTGACTGGACTCCATCGAATAATTTTTTTTTCTTTGATAATAGATAAATACATAGAGTTTTTATTTCTACATTGAAAACTAAGATCCTTAACAGAAATACAGAAATGTAGCTTTTTTTTCTTTCTAAAAAAAATTCATGGGTGATGTGTGTTTTAATTGCTTGAATTTGAACTTGATACCATTCATTTCGTTTTTGTAAAGGTATACCGAAATAAAGTTCTGTAAAAAGATTGCTCAATTGTTAGGCAATTTAATGATTCGAGCAGCTTAACAACTCGAAGTAACTAAAAACTGAAAAACTTTTAAGAAGAGACTTTTGGGACACACGGTATTTCAATAACTAATTGATCCAAGTGTTTGCAATTTGAAAATACATTAAAAATGACATCAGGATAAATTCCTGCATTCCCAATTATAGACATTCGTGCGCTAATTGGCTTAATTTCTGTTGCAATTTGAAAGTTATGGATATTATTACTTACCTCGTTTCTATTCGATTGATTGTTATTTTTATTTCGATAGCATCATGTTTAATAGAAATCTTAAAATTAAACTTAAATATCGATCGATTTAAGATTTTTATTCGAAATTTTTGTTTTTTACTGAATTTATAATCACCTTTTGATAACTTAAAAGTGTTTTTTTATTCAATTTCTTCCAACTAACTATAAAAATGATATAAATTTAGTTGACATTCCTTGTCGACACAGTAACATGGAATTCTTCTTTTGGGATCTATTTATTTCATATTGATTTTTTCGATGATCAACATTTTTAGTTTCGCACTCCTTTTCATATTCGAGTTTCACTCGAATACCATCTAGTTTTATTTAGTAAGTTCAATTAGTCAGCATATACGTAAAGACCGAATGAGTCATATGTGATCATTAATTCAATTAACAAATGCTAACAATTAGAATCAATATCGATTAACAAATTATGAAAACAATTATAACTAATCGCTAGTTTACAAGTTAGATAGATAAATATAGTCTGTCGCAATGTATGAATCAGTTCTTTATTTTATCATAAGGGAGGACAAATAAACATAGATATATATGTAAAGAATAGAAAGAGATCTAACTCTTATTTGTTCTTCTATTTAAATAACTAACATAATGGTAAACACAATCGTTACGTTTGGAAATAATCGAGTTTCATCAGTTGCACCACTTCCTATAGTGATTAAAACTGATAAAAAATCATCTTTACAACGACAAATTTATTTAATTATTGGAATTCTAGTACTTATCATTATTGTGAGTCCAACAATATTATCAATTGAAAAAGATCCAGATGATTTTTCTTTTCATATACTTTTCATTGTTCATGCAAGTTCGTTAACATTTTCTTCGTTTATATATGTTTTTCTTTTTCACTTCTTTCTTAGGTTTTCTATTATTATTTTTCATTTCAAATACAATATATAGAAGTTAGTTTATACTTTTGTTTTTTTTATTTATTTTCTAATTGAATAATAATTTTTATAGATATTGGAGATGGAATAACAATAATACCTAGTCTTAGTCTTTTGGCTATTTATAAAACAGTTCATTATGTAATTCGATATCGTTATTGTCGAATAAATTCTCCAAAAGATTTTCTTATTACAACGGTTTTATTTTTTTGTTTTTTTTTTATCTTTAATCAAGAAAATTCAACTATCTTTTATTTAGATTCAATTAACAATTATTTTAATATTTGTTATAACATATATTCTTTGGACATATTTATTAATAAGAAATAAATATCGAAAGAAAATAACAAAAGGGTATTAAAAAACAATTTTTTTTTTATTTGTTTTATAGAATCATATTTCTTTTTTCTTTTTTCAATAGAACAACAAATTTTATAAGAAAACAAAAACGAATATTTTTCTCATTGTTAAGTCTTAATTTAATGTTAACAGTAAGATTAAATAATCATAATTGACTTATTTAATTATTTGTTTTTTATATTTTAAAAGATTTCATCATTAATTTTAAATATACGTAATCAAGAAAATTTTGGTTTATATGAAATAATTATTCTCTCAGTTGGAATACCATTAACTTTACTTTGGTGTACAATAGGAATATTAATGGTAATAGAAAAAAATTCTTTTCAATCATTTATTTTCGATCTACAACAATTACCCGCAGTGTAGAATTGATCGTAGTATTAAAAAAAAGCAAATAGACAAAAAAAAATTTTACAATCGATTCAAGATTAAGAAACATTAGATATAAGTATAAATATGAATGTTTAGTAAACTATTCTAATTGAGTATGAAGTCTTACACGAGAGTAGGTAGTAGCTATTGTCAAAATTTTCTATATTCCTATATAATTTTTCCATCTTTTGGAGCTTCTATCTATTGTAATATTCGTTATTCGATAACGAATATAGTTTTCATTTTTTCATAACAATTCGATAAATTGAAAACATGAATGTCAACATTCAATTACTACTTACTAATAAGATCATCTGCAAATCTATCCCATGAGATAAATCTTCACTTTTCACATGCTATTTGATTCTCATTGGATGCTGTATGTGATTAAATCATATGTCTACAAATTGACATTTGTGGGAAATGAAACAGGTACTATGCTTCTGTCAAATATGCAACCAATTGATATCGTTTAATTATTGTTTGATTAATTGTCATTTTTCCAATATATTTTAGTCGATTTTTCGAAATTGTTTATGCATAACATCATTCTATCTATTGTCAATGATCCAACCATTTCATTTAATTCATTTGATATTTCAAACAATAAATGAATTACAGAGTTTATCAACTGAACATGAAATAAATAAATTTCTTCCTTTATTAATAATTATTTTTGTATGTGTTAGTACAAATTTTCTTGTTCATTTATTTACAACAATAACTGGTTGTTGGATGATATCAAAAACTGATAAAACAATTATTAATTTTCGTTGGTTATTAGCAAATATTTGAACTTCTATTTTGTTGTTTTTTTTTCCGTCTTTTGTTATAGTGTGTTTAGAATGTTGCATAAGCGTGTATGTGTGTTTTTTTTTCATTTTTGTTTCTAGATAGAGTCATGTCAGCTTCGATAAATAATGAAGATAGAGAAAATAATCTTGATCAAAGCCGAAGTTATGATGAAATTGAACAATTCATTTCTGATGAAGATGATACTCATGAAATTAATACGGAAAGTAGAATAACAATTAATTCATTAAGATCATCTGATGAAAGATTAGTATCACAACAACAACAACAACAACAACAGCGTTCATCATCTTGTATTACACAAGTACAGAATACGAGTCTTTCTCTAGAAAAATCTTCAACGAATATTGAAGAAAATTCTAAAAATGAAAATAACAATAAATCAAAAATATCCATATTAAGTGTTAAAACATCAAATATACCTGGTCCAGTTGGTCTCTTACCAATATTAGTAAGATTATATGTTGTTAATTAAATTCTTTTAATTAAAAATATTATTAATATAGAAAACTAATGAAGACTTACGACGTTTAAAAGAAGATAAAACGGCTCGTGATACATTGCTTACTAATGAAGAGAATGTTAATGCTAAACGACCTAAAACATCATCTGATGTAAGTTAATTATAGATACTTTCCTTACCTTAATAACTACCAAAGATCGATGGGGCTATCTCGCGCTACCCCGCGCTCTAACACATGCTTCTATTCATGCTGAAAGAACATCGAAGGAATGTTTCCGTGCTTTCGAAACTTGCTCATCCAACAAGAAAATAAAGAGACATGCGAAGTGTGGAGTAACTCTATCTATCTCTGGTAACTACCTACTTAAGTTTATCTGATACCTTTATCTCAGTAATATCTGAAATCTTCATTATAACCTATTAGCAAAGTTTCATCTAGATGTGAATATATAATATGATGGAATTGCTATTACTTTGAATCAAAAGTTATTAAGAAAATATCTCATAAATGGTTACCAGTAATGTATCTTGATATGTATAGAAAGAGTGATTAATAAATATCTTAAACTATTGGTTAGAGATTGTTGGCAGATATTATTATTTGTTACGAGACGTAAAGAAGTGAGAAAACTACAATTTTCTTATTATAGAATCTAACATTCATTCACAAAATGAAATTTTCTTTTACTATAATAGAGTTTTGCATCATACGTCAATCGGATACAAATAATTATTCGGATTAAGCCATAGAATATTATTATCTCAATTTTTTTATGCATGTTCAAAATATCTTTAGAGATATTATCTGATTTTCTAAATTAGTCCATCGAGTGAAGAATATTTCCCATAAATTCAAGCAAATCTTCTCTATTGCTTTGATTTTATTAATGAGCACATCAAAGTTTACTTCATTTTGGATTAGAAGTATAGACCATAAGTTTTTCTTTGTACTCTAGACTTACCTTGCACTTTTCTACTATGGATCAAGCTAAGAAAAACTAATGATTTATGATGATCATTGATCTCACAGTTAATATATTTTGAATGAAAGTCAAGATTTTCTATACTTCCTATAGATTTATCAACACACTTATAAAGTTCGGTACAATTTTACATAAATTCGCTAAATGTTAAATAAAAATTTATGTATATTATTTTGTTTTTAGCTTTTTAGTTTGAATATTAACAATTATCCATCATATACAATAGCTCTTAGACAATTACAAGAATCATTCAGTTGTGAACCAATCAGTATCCATACAGCACTTGTTAAAGTTAGAATAATCAATAAATTCATTCATTCATTCATTCATCATCTTTCATTTCATAAAACTAGGCTCGTCTTGGTATTAAAAAACGTATTCCACTTATGTGTGCAGCTGTAACACACTATGATCGACAAGAAAATACTATTCTATTAGATAAATCAGGTATAACCAATCTATCATTTCAATTTGATAACAAAAAAAAAAAATCTTTTTTTTTTTCTTAGCTCATATTCGAGCAACATTCATCGGTGACGATGAATTATTAGATAGTTTTAATATTCGTGTTGGTCATACACTTGTACTACGAAATGTAAATATCTATTTATCTTTCTAAATTTTCTTTTAAAATAATTTATTTTTCGTTTTTGTAAAGGTAGCAGTATTTACATCAACTCGTCATAGACATCATTATGTTAATATTCATTTACAAAATATAATAGCTATACAAGATCCATTAAATAATTTATTTAGTATGCCATCTATGAGTCAAGAATATCAACAACAACAAAAAATGCCAAAATCAATATTACATTCAATAGAAAATGAAATATCAGCATATGCAGATTCATCAAAAACAAATAATGAAACTTTTCATTTATTTTCACAATTTGATCATGATGATAATGAACAACCACCATTAAAAAAACTAAATACAACTTTAAAATCATCAAATAATTCAGCTTTTAATCATATTAAACCAAATATAAAATCATCATCTGTAAATAAATTTAAAGAAACTATTAGTGAAAAACCACAATCAACTTTTAAGTCTCTTCCTATTCAACCACAAAATACATCAATATCAACTATCAATAAACTTGCACCTACGCTAGTTACAGTTACTCCACCATCATCAATAACCGAAACTGATCTTCTTCAAATGATTGAGAAACCAATTGATATTGATATTAATCCAGAAGGTAATTCTTTTTATGAACTATATTTTAATTCATTTAAATTTCTTTTTTATCTTCTCATTAATAGATCTTACTAATGATGAATTCTTTACAACATGGTAGTGATATTATATTTTCTTTTAATTGTATGCAGATAGATTTTTTTTTCTCAGGTGTTGTAATTTCTTTTGTTGATTTATCTGACTAGAATTTATTTGTGTAATAATAAAAAATTCATATAAATATATATATATATTAGCGAATCAAATTCATCTTGAAATTTGTCATATATCAAGAGTAAAAAATTAGTTTCTCATAGTCTCTGTGTAAATAAGATGATAAAGAAAAGTTAAATAACAACATATTATTTTTTTGTGTAATGTTAAGCATCTAGCTGAAATTCAGATAGTGATTTAAATAGTTAATATAATTTTCTATCTAATACATTCTATACCAAGGTTCCATAAAAGAACTATAATGGTAAGGTTTCTAAAAAACTGAATACGGTAGTTTTATATGACTTTTCTCTCAAAATTTGTTAGTATCACAAAAATCGTAAAAAAAAATGTCTCCTGCACGGTTTTTGTGATACTTACAACTTTTGAAGGAAAAGTCGTATAAAACTATCGTGTTTGGCTTTTTAGAAACTTTTCCATTATAATTCTTTTATGGAATCTTGGCATAGGATGTATTACATAGAAAACTCTATTGACTGTTAAAGTCACTATCTAAATTTGAGCTAAGTACTTAACATTATAGGAAAAAAAAATCACAAATACATTGATGGTAAACTTTTTTCAGTTCTTTAGTAAGAGATACCAAAGGAAAATGGCTTTTAGAATCATAAAATGATGAGTTTTCGAAAGCATAAGACAAATCATAAGGTTTGGTTTTGTTTGGAATATTTCGTAAAACTTTAATAAAAATTTAAGTGTAATTTATATAAAGGAGGAGGGGCGATAAGGCCATTTTTCAACCCCAGATATTTTCAAGAAATAACTATATGGGTGTTATAAGATCGATATGGGCTACAAATCTAGCATGTTAATTTTCCGTAAAATCATTTCCAGGTTTTCGAGCCCTGTACTCCCCCACAGGGTTTCGAAAAAACTTTTTTCGAAATTTTTTTTCTAAGGGTGACTAGAAGTGACAAGTCGACGATGCTGATCACGAATATCACTGCCTAAAAGTTCAAAAATGTAATGCTGAGAAACTAGATCATTTTTTCTTATATACGAATTTCGAGGCCTAAACCGGATTTTTGACCCTCTTTCCACATGTATTAGTCTCTAAGAGATCTAGAAAAGCATTTTTAGATACAAAGTTCTAAGCTCTATCCAAATCTTAATGAATAAGGACTATTCGAAATGTTTAGCTGCTTATGACAGCGAAATACGACCAGGATTTTGATAGGGTAAACATGGTCGTTCCTCTTTCTGGAGCTTCCAGTCTACTGAAAACTTTTGAACTTAAATGAGACTATGTCAATTCGATGCAGTTTTTCTTGCTCTATCCAAATATGAACTCGAAAAGATTCAAAAAGGTCGGCATCAG